AACCTGTCCACTGTCTCATTATCCTTGAATTTTAGCTGAGTCACAGCCATGTCAATCAACGTCCCCACGAAGAAGAGAACCGATCTGACTTTGGCCGACAAGGTCAAAGTCATCGAACTTCAAAGTCCTGTACAGATCACAACTCATTCAGCACATCCTGAACGACCTAGACAACGGCAACATCCACAACGCACAGCAGAAGGCAACAACAGTGCTGGGTGCCCTCTACCTGACCTGGGAGGCGTGGAGGAACGTTCAGCCGACAACCATCCAGAACTGCTTCAGGAAGGCCGGACTCACCGCTGTACAGAGCGATGACCACACTCCTCAGCCCGCCGACATCGTCCCTACGCCAGAAGGGATGACAGGGGACAGAGGAGGAGTTCATGGAGTTCGTGGACATGGACGCCTACGTGGAGTGCACCGGGGACCCCACCGATGAGGAACCCTACCATGACGTGAGGGAGTCCCGGTGCACCACTGTCACCACCACCGAGACGGAAGATGACAGCTGCCCTCCACCTGTTACATCGTCGGCAGACTTGAGCTCAGCCCTGGCAGTGCTTCGGCGATGGATGCGGGCGGCCCACGACGACTCCGAGTACAGCCACCTCGCACGCATCGAGGGGAAAGTCCATCGCCAATGTCTTCTGCAGAGCAAGAAACAGAAGACGATAACAGATTTCTTCCAGTAAGACTTCTCCAAGCAAGCCTTCTTCTGCCTTACACTGTGCCAACGAACTGTTCTGTACACAACACATTAGCTACTGTTAGCCCTGTTACGTAAACAAATCCTGGTTCACATTAAAAAAAAAACGAATTCAAATCTCCCGCCGAAAGATTTGCCGCATTGGCTGATGGGATACTGAACGCTTGGAAACACGCCACCGACGCCATTTTGTATTCATTGTTTGGATATTTCGGCGAAAGATGACCAGGTTTTTAAAAACTTTTAGTGTACTTTGTGGATACTTTGTACATACGAAGGTGAAATGTTAACTGCTGACATACTTACCGTCATTTAAACGAAAATTGTGACACCGATGTCATTTAATTAGACGTAGATGAACATGCTTGTGCTTGCATAATCAGTTTGTCTTTGTTGAGGACGGTCTGTGCGTATAAATTTTTGTTTGTGTATTTGATATCAACCTTAATCAAATTATAATCGCCTGTAACTTGTAACATTATCGATGTATGATTTGTAAAACTTACAAGTGGACATATTGGATATTTTTTATGTAATCTATGAAATATGGTAGCTTGTGCTTATTTCATTATTGTTCTAGTACGCCGGTTCTTTTGTAGTCTACGCGTATTTAGCCACTTTTAGCCACTTGTACTGTAAAATTTGCAACTGCAACTTCTTCGATGTTCCGTAGTCTTTGAGATACGAGTGGTTAGTAGTGATTATGTCAGAATTCCTTCAGAAGTATTGGTCCTGTAGCCTATGAGTGTGAAGAAAAAGAATACGATTCATGATCCGGTACACTAAAAATGACAAAAATAACATGCATTTTGCGAATTTTATTTTATTGTTTAAATTGAGATCAAAGGGACGATTGTATGCATGCAATGGGGTCTGTTGCGTGTCGGCAAACCGTTAGACCTTATTCAATGAAAGGTCCATAAAGGGCCATTATAGTATAGCTTGAAAATGTAGGAAAAACTTCGCTTTAAAGCTGTTAGTACTAGTAAATTCCTCAGTCAAGATGGCGAACAATAAATACAATCAATGACTTGTAGCTCTAACCTATTTTGCACACAACACATAAGGGTACAGCATGGAAAAACGACAACGACGAAGACAAATAAATAAGGCACATAACGCGCTTTATTGTTGAAACTGAGATGCAAAAAGTTGACAAATCTCTAGCTCTAAGCTATCTCTACCTTATTTACTGCAATTTCAGAATTGCAGTGAAACTAATTACATTTTCCTGCATTAAGTAACATGCTCCAACTGTAACCAAACGCTAAAGATCTAGTGTATTCACAGATACTAAAACAAGAAAACTACATGTAGCTGACTAAGTTCTATAACAGACGGACGATGACACATTGAAGTTAAACGACAGATGTCCTACCATCTCTAAATATTACACTGTCGCATTTTACACACGGATTCTAGCCCTAATCAACAGGCTACGGAACATGCATCTATCGTGATATAAAACCAACTTTATAGTTGAGTCAGGAATACTCTACTGACAGAATACACTGTTGAAAACCAGTAAAAAAGTGGTTTCGGTTGTAAAAGAATAACCCAATGAGATCAAACAGTAATTACATTTAAGACGATCTCACCCAGTAACATTTAAAAAGACATTATTAGTAGGCTTTCGCTGATGTGAGGTCGTCATCTCACAAGTGGTGAGGTTAAATCCATAAACACCCCGACCAATAGGGTCGACTGATTCACATGACCCTGGGTACGAGATCAGTCAGTAGGCCATCTTTGTGTTCGACTTATCGTGCAATGGACGATGTATGCTTTATGGCACCAAAACACATCGGTTCGTGTCATTAACCCTGAATTTATACGTCGAATGGATAGTTTTATCATATGATATGTGAAAAAATATAAAAGGTATAAACGACCATACATACTCTACATACTAGACAAAGCGTTGTACTAAGTAGTATATATGTACGAGTACAATTAACTTCTCACTTTTTGCATATGTGTACTTAATTGAACAAATAATTGCTCTTCAAGGTTTGTCTATGCGTATCAGAAGTATAAATCTATCGGTTGCATTTGAATATTCAAAATATTGAAAATTGTCTTTGATACAGTAAAAAGTACAATTCTTTCCTTATGATACAGGTTACAATATAATAAGAATGTCACTTATTTTCTACTTGACTATGCAGGGTTCGAAATACAAAGGTGCAATGTGCAAATTGCACGTAATTTTCAAGATTTGCACCTAAAAATATTTTGAATGTGCAATTTTGCACCTGGACAATACCGATATACTAGTATCATGTTTGCACTGCGTATCTCCGAAGTTTCTTGTGTGTCGGCATCGCGCTGGGCGCATGGCAGCCATATTGTTTTCTTTACTGAACTTCCTGGGAACAAGCTGCTCTCGTCCCCAGGTGAAGACGCGAAGGCATTACGTAATGATTTACCTAATATGGCAAGACGCGAAGGCCTACGTAGCTGATTTACCAAATATGGTGAGACCCGCGAAACTTGTTGCCCGATGTGGTACGAAGTCCTTCGGCAGAGTAATTTCGGCTTTTTCGTCCAATTTTCGGTAAAATTCGGTGAAAAACAGAGTTTTCGGATTTCCCAGCATTCAGTGCTACCCAGGAAATTTGTAAAGCATGGAGAAGGGCCCATGAAGAAAGGGTCGATTTTCAAGTTCTTTTCACGGGCCCAGCCGGCATCAGAGGCTGGTGCAGCCGGTGGCGGTGGACCAGAGGCTGGTGCAGCCGGGGGCGGTGGATCGGGAGATGCCACCGGGTCCACCGTCTCCGAGGATCCCGCGGCCGATGTTGACGACGCGCCCCCAGAGGAGGGGGAGGGGAGCGCCAAGAAGCAAAAATTAACCGGACGTTATTTTTTTCTAAGCAGTATTTTTTTCCTTATATCGTGCACGATATTCAAGGTAAACAAATATGCAAAATAAATGAAATTTATTGCTCGCATACTGTTGGTAAATTTTTTTATGACGAGTGAGAGGGCCGGGGGTCACTAGCGGCGTCCTTTGAAGCTAATGCCGACAAATTGTTTTTGTGTTCTTTTTTTTTACAAACACAGATGATACTTGCATTGTTCATGTTTTGTTTGGTCCCTTCTTTTTAATGTATACTAAAACTTCTATATGCAGTGGCAGGCTAAGAAGGTTGATACACAGTAAAACAGTTCCAAACCTAAAGATGCAAGGCTAAATTAGTAAAACAGTTCCAAACCTAAAGATGCAAGGCTAAAAAAGTAAATATAATTTTGCACATAAATTTTTCAAATTGCACCTAAAAATTTTGCCAATGTGCAATTTTGCACGTACCTGAAAAAAAGTATTTCGAACTCTGCTATGTCATATCAAAATTTCACAACATAAAAAAAATTATATTAAGGTACCATTTTTAGTAAGTCTTAGTGTACATTTTGAATACTGCATCTTATAAAATTTTTCTACAGTTAAGAATTCTTGACTATTGATATTTAACAATGAACCATAGTATAATATGACTACTAAAAGTACTTTGCTGTATGTTGTCCGTTGCTAGGCTCTTTATACTCGGTTGGGTTAAGGCGGCCTAGGCTGATATTCATGTTTGAGTTCGGGCGTGTGTCTGCACAATTGCCACAAACTTGTTTCGAACCCGAATCATGTTCCACCATGTTCGATATGACGTCATTCGAATAGAACGCGTGTTCGAATTCGGGGTCACTCGCGGTCATTTGTATGTTTTCCCTGTAAACCCGCGTTGTTACGCATTTTATTCACGGACTATGACATAAACGGCTTTACGCGCAGCTGAAAACAGCATAATTGATCTTTAGAGTAATCCATGTTTACGTATTATCACTTTTTCATCAAAATTGTCCGAGACTATTTTGCATATAAGTCGATATTTTTTAACTGTGGCGATTTTTGAACGAAAAATGACAGAAAAATAGCTGTTTCTGTCGTTTTTGGCCCAAAAAAACAATGTAACTGTCATTTAACACAAAATAGCCTCGGACAAAAATAATAAATAGGGGGTTGGCTTTCTACTTGTAAAATACCATGATGAAAGGTGTTGCTACCGCTTGCGCGTAAAGCCATGAAGTAAACAGCTTTTTTTGAACCAAAATGTTGATTTTTAACAAAAAAATCCAGAAGTAGTAAAAAAAAAATTACCTTTATTCAATGTGTTTCAAGTACTACTAGAACTGTGTGAAGTTTAGTTGTGGTGCGACCAAGCTATCAAAAGTTACAGGCATATGTATGAAATAATACTCATAGTATGCCATAGGCTGCCTTAACCCAACCGAGTATGTAAAATTAAACAACTTATAATCTAATCACTTGGAAAAGGCCTCGGCTACTTTTTTGCACTTTTGATTCAAACTAGATGCCCCTAGAAAAGAATAGCTCTTTGATGATATGGACAAAATGGCTAAATTGTACTTTTAGGATAGTAACCTTACAGGATGAGAGTTTGTTATAACAAAAGTGGATAAACCCCAAGTAAACCCAACCTGTGGAGACAGTTCAGACTGCCAACTTGGCCTTAATGTCAATCTGCGGTTACAAAATATAATTGATTAAAATAATCAGGCAATTTCATACACCTTTTCGAATGTGTTCTCGTATTAGGGGCCGAAGTCTGGGTCGTCTTAGACTGCCAACTTGACCTGAATGTCAATCTGCGGCTACAAAATCTACTTGACATAATCAGGCATTTTCATACGCCTTTCCAAACGTGTTCTCGTATTCGGGATCGTACGCAACCTCATAGTCTCGTAGACTTGTGTAGTCACTATCAGTATCACACATGGTCCTTGGGTCCAGCGCCTGGTACTCAGAGCCCGCCGATTGGGTCTCAGATGCCCCGGGTCGTGGAGAAACTGTCGCCGGGGCGTGTGGACTCCTGGTCGGCAGACGGGAGTCCTGTGGGTCGACCATCTCGCATTCGTCATTGGAGGTTCCTCGCTGTTTTGTAGCCCTGTTGTGTGAAACAGTCCACGAAAACGTGATCACAGTCGGATTATGTAAGGTGAAATGTAAAGTACTAAGGTCATGTCACACAGGAGTTCTATAAAGGCACCCAAAGCGATTTTATATTAAAGCTTAATTTTCAAAGTCAATATTTGGAGCAGTTTCTAAACTAGTGTAGTAAGTTTAATCAATCCTATGGCATGGTATACTGATACTCCTGATATTTCAAATGCTTCAAGTATGACATGATGACGAAAATTCATGTCTAATACAGATGTCCTCATCAAAAATATTTTTGTTTTGCCGTCCTGAAATTGCATTGGATGCCTTTCACAAAATTACGTACGCAAATACCTCACGTAAACATCGAAACAGCTATCCAGACCATGGAAAGGTTTCAAATAGATTCTCATCATATCTTTATATCGCCTTATCTTATCTATGCGCAGACTTGGTAATTCCATTACACAAAGATTATACATCTTGGATGAAACACATACCTCCTACGCTTGAAGATGAAGAAAGCAGCAACCACGATCACAAGAAGTACGGCACTTATAATGGAAACTGGCACAGCCCACACCAACACGCTCTGTCCATGGCCCATCTCTGAAGAACCAAGCAAAAAAAAGAACTATGATGAAAAAAACGCACGATGCTAATCTTTGATATAATTGTCTATCATTTATGGCAGTTACTAACACACGTACCTAGAAAAGATGTGGACATGGCAAAGGGAATGTTACATACATCAGGGCACACCAACATTATTTCAACCGGGACGTAGGGCGGTACCGACTTCTGCCGAACTTTGTCCCAGTGGTGACGTCACACGTCGAATAAAGTCACATGACTACAACACTTGGTCCAGATAGCTGACGAAGACCGAGGTATTTGGTAGAAAATTCCGGTGAGTCAAATTCGTTTGAGTAGGAGAACAGTTTATTTCTCTTTACATTAAGTAAATACCCGTTCGCTACAAAGTTCAAGGCAATAATTCGGACCCTACAAAACACGGACCCTACATCACACGGACGTAATCACCTGTACGTATACTGCAGTAAGGTGTGGGAATGTTGAAGGTTCCGTTCTTCTGACACTGTAGCGTAACGTTCTGTCCGTTTTTGCACGTGACAGTCGCCTGTTGGCCAATAGTAAAGTTCCCTCCATGGTTAGGGGAAACGGAAGTGACGTCATCGATGACGTCTACGGGTCCACAGAGAACACCTAGAAATATGAGGATATGTAATTAGTGGTTTATTCAAGATTATGGTTGGTTGGACAAAGGTCAACGTCAGGTATAAGGTGACCAGGGGAAACGGAAGTGACGTCATCGAACTACCTGGATATATTTACCGGAAATATTTTCAGGGGTGGTCACAACGTGTTTTTAAAATGATTCACCTTCATAACGCAGGATGAATCCCTATTTTATTTTTTTTATTTATTTATACTGCTTTGCAGTGGGGCCCTGGACACATAGTACATGTACATAAAACATACATATTTAACAGGGAACAAAACAATGTAAAACATACAGAAGTAATGTTCAACAGGACAAAACAAACATGTCATCAAATACAAAGCCAGTATCCATACTCGTAGTCCGTATACATGTACAGGTCCATTTGTCATTAGGTCAGATGAGGTCAGAGGTCAGCCCAGGTTTTCAACATGCGCTTGAAGGAGGAAAACGTAGAAGTTTGATTTCATAGTCTGTGGAATCTCACTCCAGCTACTAGCTCCTCTGTAACTGAACATGCTCCTACCACATTCCAGGTGAACTTGTGGTAGCTTTAAAGACTGGTTAAAACGGGCTGGGTAGTGGTGAGACCCAGCTACCCTGTGAAAGATCTGAAGATATTCTGGCAGTTGTAGGTTTACAGATATATACAGGATATTTTTGGTTCCTTTTTGGAGGAGCTAGAACATTTGGTACATCAAAGACCGTATTCTTGGTTCTTGGGTTATAGTTTGGACAATGAGCCACCGGTCCACTAATTTCCCAACACCGGTAAGTAATTCAGAAAAAATCCACTTATGTTGCCACCTTTCCACCATTTAGCCTGGATGCCAGACCCAAAGCACACTGGACACAAAATATCTCAGTGTGCAAGGGTCTGGTAGGGTCTCTTAGGAAAGGCTCTCGAGCAAAGGGAGGAGAAGCTGTGATTGATGACCCCTCACACCACAGGTAGCCTGTTAAGCTAAGGTCCCAATTACGCCGGTGCCCGTCGGGGATGTAGCCCCGGCCGGCTCCCGCCGGGCTCTGGAGCCTGGCGGGCACCGTTTGTTGTGGTCACAATTAAAAGTTTCCTTCAGTGTCATTGTGTCACCCTTATTGGTCGTTCTCCGACAGGCACCCGGCAGGTACCCGGCAGCTTCTCTGACGATGTCTTGTACTGACCCAATAATATAGAGTTCACGCTTTTGTTGTGATCATTTGATCAGTGACGTCACACATTTTACCCGGGTTTACGAAGTACACACCTTTATTCTGTTCATCTGGTCTGTGACGTAACAAATGTGTCCCGGTGGAATGCCGGCAACCGGAGGGGTACCTCTCGGTGTTCTCACGATGAGGTCACGGCGTCTTTTTGTCAGCTGGGCCCGGGTAGAATTTAACTCAGAATTAAATTCTTATCGGGGCCCCGACGGGCCAAAAAATAGCCCGGTAGCCGCAGGGTGCCCCGCGGGGCCACGTCGGGGTCCCGCCCGAAAGTGGTAAAAAACAGCCCGGGAACTACCCGCCAGGGCCCCTTTTCCCAATTGGGACCTTAGCTTAACATGGTACCACCATTGGTCAGCAGGAGACAATCTTGGGCTCAACAGTTAATCATTAACCAGTCAATTTTCTAAATGTTTTTCGAGTTTGTTTTCCAAAATAACAGCAAGAATTAGAAGTAGTGTACAGCCCAGGCTTTCCTGTTTGTTTAGGTAACAGTCCTCTGACACACCAGGACAAAATAACCTTATCTACAGTTTAATCTCATCTGCTGGTGGCCACTGGTTAAAGATTCAAAGATACAGCTGGGAGGTTTAACCAATCATAGCAGAGGTGTAAAATCTCTGGTACCGTAAGGCCTGGTTCACACCACCCCCAGGAAAGCCTCATTATGCTATTATAATGACCTACTTTAATATTATAATGAGCAAAGTGCTAGGGAAAAGGCCTGAATATGCATCAAGCCAGGCGATAATTGCACTGACTTCAACGCCCACTGCCCCGCCCGGTGTTTTGCATTTGTTTGCCGCCTAGTTTCACACCCCCTCCCAATTTCACACCCCCACTGCCTATGACTTGGAACCTCCTAATTTCAATATGGCGGATTTGAGCTAGGATCCGGATTTGTGCAGGCATGGTGCAGGGAAGTGCTGCGAAGAACATTTACGCTCGACTACAAAGAACAAACAACATCAACAACAAAGATTGTTTCCTCAATGGTCTGAAGGAGGTGAGTTTGCTGTTACAGTGATACTTAATGCTGGATGATAGCTTATACTTAATTCCTTTAACTTATGTAACAGAGTTTAGGTTTGCTCACAAAAAAAAAAATTATATGGACTTCTTCTAGTCACACGCCAACAAAGCGAGGGCGTTATGTAAAACGAGTCGTCTTTCAGAGTTTTAGTGTATGTGGAACTCTTCTCTAAAGGTGAAAAAATTATTTGTCCATTTTTTCCAAGATAAATGGGGGTGGGGTGGGGGGGGGCGGTAGTCTTTGTGTATAATGGATTTGACCTGATTTACACTATTTCCAAATTACAGAACTATTCAAAAGCCACAGACCTGTATTTCCACTGGAGAAAATATTACAATGTCCTGTTTTACTCTGTATATTGAGAGATTTATTAAAATCTTATGGTATCTGTACATGAATTGAAATTACAGTACTGACAGTACTGTTGTGCTGACAAACAATATATACAATGCAATGATAATAGTTCTTTACTAGCCAACATTAATTATCATCATAATTATCCCATCATAAAATTGGCTCTGAGGTTCATTTTGTACACTTCTAAGTTCTAGATGTTTTGAAAACTACTGTTCCTAGAACAAATGAGTAGTGCAGGAATAATTTGACCATATTTTGCCCTTATACTTGACTGCAATAACGAACAAAAAATCTGATATTCCAGTGCATAATGTTCACATCGACTCATGACAATTTCAGACATCACAAGTCACCAATAACGCTTCATCATACATCACTCACAAGATGGGTGATACCACAATAATCATCATTATCAAAATTATCAATCCTGTTACCTTGAGGTAAATGACCTCAAACCTAGATGTTTAACTGAAAAAAAGGCAAAAGAAAGATAACGGTACAAAAAAGAAAGGCTGGTGAAAACACTTAAAGAACAAAAAATAAGCTGAAGCCTTAGCCTCTGCTAGTGCTTGGACTTGGAAAGTAAGTCATGCATACGATTCATAACACTCCATATGATGAATACGAGAACATCTGAGAATTATGCCTTGTGCAAATTGATACCAAAATGTCTCAAGAGGTGCTCTGCATATCGGATTCTCTTTTCTTGAGCAGTAGCTTCCTCATTACAACTCACATCTGACACTGTAGGTAGTCTTCCCATGCTAACAAGGAAATCCTTTTCCCATCCTGCAAATTCTCTCCTATCTTCACCTAGCTGTCTACTTAGATGACACGATATCCGTGCTATACATGTGTCGTATTCAGCCTTGAGCCGTTTGTCCTTTGGTGCGGTCTTCAGCTTAGACTTCATTTTGTCTGCCTGGTGCACGAGAGGAACGTCACCTAGCACAACCGCCAATGCAGTTCCCAGCTTTGTCCTCCATTTTGATTCATCCCTAAAACAAGGAGAATAGCCATTACTCAGCGAGTGCTTTGAATTATTAGTGAAATGAACACCAGTGCTGAATACTAGTATATGAGTAGATCATAAAAACCTATAAAAGTTCCCAAATATCCCTCGATCATACGTTATAATATAGAAAGCATTCTAGGAATGTAGATATAGAGATATAGGAATATTTACTAGATATACTTATGATAACTATACATAATTTACAGTTACTAAATCACTGTTACAACTATGCTTTTTGATGTCAAAATTTATAGATTTCCTGAAAGTTTTCTTAGACTGTAGATTCATTTCTACAACATACCTGCTTTTGTTCTTGACAGGACATGGAGTTGCTGGTGGTGTCATGATGCCTTGAAGGTTCACACTGCCACTTCTTGCACTGGTTGGTGTGGTTAGGCTGCTGCACTTGGTACTACAGATGGAAAAGGTAGGTAGAAACCATCAATCATTCATTCAGCAAATCAATCAAAATGGGGAGTACATTTATCAAACAAGAAACTTGCAGCCAATATCATTTTACATAGTCATTACATGTATTATTAAAAACTGAAATGACTGTGTTTGGAACTACATGTTTATTAACATTTGATTTGAAAAACAATAAGAAAATTAAGTACACCAACCTCTCATCATCAAAGTTGCCAGTAGTACGCTCTACCTCCCTCATGGGTGTTCTAGGGGGTGTAGAGACTGGGGTACTCTCTGGTGACAAACAGCTTGCCAGTCCTCTACAAGTAGAAATGAAAATAACTTGTCATATGGTTGCTTAATGATAATTTTTTATATTTGCTTTTCAATCAAGGAGCAAACATTTCTTACTGTTAGTTGTATTTGTGACAATAGTTAACATTCATGAAAATCATGCATAGTTTTATAGTTTCACTGGTATGTAGGCCTAGACATCAAGTTGCATTTAGTAAATGTGCCAATCAGTACTAATAGAAACTTGGTTGTGTACTCTAAGTACCTTTGTTACCCAATGACTTTTTACTGCTATACATGGAAACTTGAAATTGATACACAATATTTACCTTCTTTCTGTTCTAGACCTGATGTCACTGGGAGATTGGCATGGTCCTCCATTGATGGCCTTAAGTGGAGTTCTGAAGACAACCTGACTGGCAGCTGCCTGTTCATCTGGTTTCCTGCATTTAACAAAACACGATGTTGTTAGTGACAATAATTTTGTTACAATATCATTAGAATTTATTAGATAATCTTTTGGTATTTGTTTGCTTCTCAAACTGCTCTAGAGAAACAGCTATATCATGTAGGAGAGAATAATTTATTTATCATGATAGGTGAAGAAAGGAGATTTTTTTGTTCAGATTATGCTACTTAGAACTCTGTCAGTTTTAAGCTTGTGGTTTTAAAAATGTGTGGTACAGATATAGAACATTAGAATTGATAATAAAGGGGAAATACATATAATTGTTAGTGATTTAATGATTTTGGGGGTGAAGAATTTAATCGAATCATTGGAAAAATTGAATCATATAATAAAACTCACATGATTTCAGTCTCATCTTCCAACTGCTCCAGTTCAGGCTCAGGATCAACTCGGTCCATCCTGATGACCTCTTCATCCTCTGTCTCTTCCATCTCTCCATAGTCAGGCTCATCTGTTAACTGCTCTTCTTCCACCTGAGGGTTCTCTGGTTCCGAAATGTCCTCCATGTAGGGGTATTTCTGTCCAGTGAATACATGACCTGTGTCCAGAAATGGAGTTGTCATCCTCTTTGCCAGATGTTGTCCTTCGTACACCCAAATCCTACTGATTGGCATGGGTACCCCTTCCTGGAGACATCTTTCCCAGGTCTGCTGGAGATACTCGTGTTCCTGTTTGATGGATGTGGATCTGAAGTGATGTGGAGTTTGGCCAGTGGGGTGAGAGGGTGTGTCCTGTGATGGCGCGTCATGGAAGACTACAACTTCTTCTTCTATGTGCCAGTGTATGTCGTAGCCAGGAAGAAGGAAGTCTGGCACACGCTCACAGTGTGCTTGTGCGTCCCGCGGATGCTTCTTCATCAGGGCCACAGGAATTCTGGTTCTGTGTTGGGGCAGTAGCTTGGCCGTTTCTGATATTTTGTTGCTTTGTTGTCCACTTGTAGAGCCAGCATTCTTGCTTTGGAAGTGTGACCTTACGAAAATGTTTGTGATAATGTGCCCCGCGTTCGCATAGTTTGCCGATGCTTTTGTTATTCTTTTGAATGTTCCGAATTGCCTCTCTTCATTCTCAGCGAGGAGTGAGCTGATTGGAGCAACCCTGAAGATGACGGGTGTATGGTCTCTTAGTGAATGCATGTATTGGCCCCAGAGCTTTCTCCTTGTGATGTTTTTGGGGTTGCCAGGGAAGCATTCTCTCAGCATGAGGTGGTGCAGGAACATGGTGTTTTGCATTCTGAAGATGCTGGTCATGTTTCGGTCCTCTGCAGCTGCATAACACAGTCTTTGCATCTCGGCAAGAGTGCTCAGAAGTGTCATGACCTTCTCTTCTGCCTGCCCTTGTTTCTCCAGTTCCTTAATCAGCACTAGCAGTAGCCACCGCATGTCGACTGCTCGAACGGTATCTTTGTTCCCAAGAATGGTGGTCTTCACAGTTTGTATTGTTTCTGCTACTTCTCTTGAAACATGCGCTGGTAGCTCTTCCAAGATGTTTTTTGTATGGTTGTACAGGTCGTGCATACTTTCACAGGCTGGGGCCTCGAGGTGCTGTAAGTTGAGTTCTGTTAAGTCTTGTGTGGGGTTTGGTTGGAGGAGGGCTGGCATTCTCTTTATGCCACGAAGCATCTTCTTCATTTCTTGCTGCAGGTCATGTTTAGTCATGGTGTCCACCGTCTCGTACGGCACTGCCCCTCTGGAGGTTAGTTCATCTTTCATCTCCTCCTTGGTCATCTGACTGAAGGGATCTGGCAGTGAGGACGATGCTTTCTGGGAAGTGATAGGCCCATCTAGAATGAATTTTTGCCTGTCTTCCATACTCTGGGCAGGATTCTCTACATGTGTGCATGTGAAGAAGCTGTGGACTTCCCTGATGTCCACAGCGCATAGGCAGGGGTGGAAACCCCCTCTCTGCTGCCCCATTTCAAACTGGCGAGAGGGACAATCTCCTTTGCAGAACCGGAGGATGTCTCGATACTCTCTTCCATCTGGTGCCGTTACTGGGACAGCAAGAGAAGGTAGGTCGTCCCTTCTCGTTTCAGAATACAGAAGTTGTTCAGCATCAGAACTCTTGCTTCTAGCGATGATATATATGCGTGGCTGTTCTACTGCAGACTGTACGGAGAGTCGAAGGTTGTATTTCTGATAATACTCCTCGTCTGTGAGATGAATGGCTGGGTCATATAAGGTGGTGACCACGTAAACGATGTAACCGTGGTTAGCAAGTGTTGCACCGTCCTCCCAGGGCACGAGATGTCTGGTTCCTTCAATGCTTTTCAAGCGTTTTCGCATGGATTGTTCTGTTTCCTCTTCGTTGTATTCCCCCAGTTCCATCAAACGTTGCTGTATTTGTTCCCTTGTTAACAGGTCATAGTTTCTGGCCTCTCTCATGAACGGTTGTTGTGACTCGAGCAGTTGCTCCCTGACTTTTAGGAGATGTTGTTTTCGTCCTTCCATAGTGATTGTTGTAGTCTCAATGTTGTTTGTGTCTTTGTTCAGGAAGTATTTCTTGTAGGTCTTCGGAACAACAAATTCGCCGATAGGAACTTCCCCATCTCTAATCATGATTGACAGTTCCTTGCTAATCTGCTCCTCTGTACGCTTCTTTGGAACCGTCATGTCCGAACCCACACCAACTCTTAGCCTGGCTCTGCGTATACGCACTGACGGTGCTTGCCTCTCAAATCTGTCTGTGTCGACATTTTCTTCCTGTAGCCACAGTTTGAGGAGTTGCCCAGCATTTGCCATCTGTTTCCCATCAGGCCCTTTGATGTCATATTTGAGAGCCAGTTGCTTCCAGTTGATCTCTGTCCCGTCTTCATAACTGTTTACTTCCTCCTTAAGTGCTTCCCTGTCAAAGTCAGCCCACCTCCCAAAGTTCCCCAGTCTTTTCTTACACTTCCTGGTTCCTTGTTCCTCTTGAAGCTTTCTTTTTCTTGTTCGTGTTTCTGCCTCTGCCCTTGTCTCGAATTCCTCAGCCAGTCTTCGGTTCCGTCTTCCACTAAGGGATTCTCCATAGCCGAAAGCCACTTCGACATCTTTGTTATTGCTTCTTTGTGCACCTTCAATGCCTTTTCTTATGGCTTTTGCATACTTTCTTTTCTTGGCCTTTTCTTGTTGCTTTTGCTTCGTTTCCACTTGTTGCACTTCTGCAAGGACACGTTTGACTTGAGTCAGGTGTGGGACACAGTCACTCAGTACGTTACGCACCCTGACACACTTGATCTGCTTGTTGTAGAAGTTCCAGTAGGTACCGTGGTCCAGCAGACAAGTTTGGCATGGACCTACAATACTGTGTTTTCGTTTTGTGGCTGCATTCAGTTTCTTCCAGTTGTTAAGGCTAAAGTGTTCCAACAATTTTGCCTTCTCTACGCGAGACCCCCTTGTCCAGTTGTTCAAAACTTGTTGAATGTGGGACGCACTGGAACAAAAGTCTTCAAAGCTCAGATTGTTCTCTTTTCCTTCACCAAATATCTTCTGAAAGGTCTCGTATCTCTGATCAAGGCTTCCCTGACTGTACTTTGTTGCTTGTCTTTCTTCTTGAGACAAGCCTAAAACCTTGCTATCACGAACACCAACACGACCGAATCCACAGGTGATCTTTAGAGCCATGTCATGTTTGTTGTTTGTGTGCAGCTGCAACGGTGTGAAACCTAAACAGGAAAAGTGAACCTATGTTAAGGCACTAATCAGGCTACACAAAGCTGAAAATTGCTATTTTGATATGTTAATGTGTTTCCATGTTTCACATAGATTTGCAGGTTGATCCGATGCTACTGGAATCTATCTAATGGACTAAGGATGACTTTGTATAATATTGTTATAATGAACTTGAAAGTAGCAGAACTGAACAGCTAAGTCACTCATGGCTATCACAAACTGATCATACTGTAAATGCATTTATATTCGTGAGGACTAAATTCGCGCAACGGAGCAAATAGAGAGTTTGCGAGGGATTTTAGTTCGCTATACAGCAGAACCAAAACAAAAGGGAATGCCGATTTTTTATAGAACAATCGCCGGATAACAAGTGATTTTCCACGCACCCCCTTTTCATGGGTTTGCCCGGCAATATTTTTCTTTAGTTACACAAAATCGCCGGGTATGGAATTTTTTTCGCAAAACACTTCGGTGATTTGGGGTTAATGTTTTGCCAGTTGCAGTTTAAAAATTCACACAGAAAAATTTACTGATGGCTCGCGCTGGGAATCACATGCATGGATTTGTATCATACCAAAGGACCAGGCATCAAACTGTTTGATTTTCACTCGGATATAAAGATGAACTCGTAAAATATATTTTCAAAAACAAGAAAAATTTGTTTCCCAATATTTATCTCTTGAAATACGGCGCTGATTTGACACAAAAATTAGTTTCGTGCACCGCGCGCGGCCTGTTCAGCTATGGCTGCATATTGTTCTTGACGGTATGCAAATCCCGCGTCACATGTCCGCGTTTTGCATCTCTGATAGGTTGTGCATCAGCTGGAGTATGAATGCAGCGCCGCGTACGAATTCAGATTTAATCAGCAGTTAAAAACCTCAAATTTGGGGTCCAAAAAAAATCCAATTAATCGGCCATGATTGCACAAGGCCTGGATGTTGAACCCTTAGCATTCAGACCATTTTTTTCTGCGGAATAAAACCTCAAAAACTCTTACCAAACCAGATTTAAACCCCTAAATTTGCATTCACACTAGGCTAAATAAAAACCGTTTTTTGAAGAACCGGTTGAAACCGCTAAATATAAGTCTGTTTTGAACGTGTCTAAAATATGCCCAATATTGTTTGAAGATGAACTTCACTTTTAATCAATCGCTCTAAAGATTATATTTGTGTGTTTTGGTTGTATAATGTATCTAGATCTGTCCCTAGTTTCATCTACCAGAATGCCTGAACACTAGAAATTCTAATGATTCAAAGATTTACATGTAGTCCAATCAGATGCTTTATTTATGCCGAGCCTGTCTTAGAAATAGAATTATATTATCCAACAACTATCATTTTTCAAGCATTGTGTTTCTGTATGGAGTTATTTTTTTTTACCTCCATGGTTTCTGTACTAAAAATGCAAGGCCCGAATAAGAGCCATGAAGTCAACATACATTCCTCAATGTAATTCAATCAATGATTTTGGAACTTTTGGTGCGTGGAAAACTGGACTTTCCGCAATTGTTGGGCCAAAAGAGTTGAGAACGAGATTAAATTGGTGTGGCTTCAGCATGCCAAATTCAAAATATGATCAGAAAACACAATCATAATACAAAGTGTACATGGATTATTTTTTCAAATCCTCCCCGGAAACTAATTTTCCCAAATTAGTAGATTAGAATGTCAGAGGATATGAGGTGAAGTGAAAATTAATATTTATGGTCTGGGTGTTATTCTACAAACTCTGCTGCACTTATATACATTATAGCTACTACCATGTATGCTAAGTTTGGATCTCAAACTTGTACATTGTCTAGTATCCTCTAAGCAATCCCAGAATGCATAGCGTATATGGAGTAAGTGCTTCCAGTATAATTTTGTTTTCCAAATCATATCTGAAGGTTATCTTTTTTCAATGCTTCATACACAGTGCCATGTAATCAGTTGCATCATGTAGACTATAACCCTGTTAGTAGCCTGGACAATATATACAGCTGAAAGTAATAGATCCTGCTTCTTTGTGTCTTCTCTATAGTGTACTGGTCATAGATTAGGAAGTCAGTCTGTAACATCAGATTAGCCAACTATTTTAAATGGAATTCCTGATGTAGCGTGCATTTTGGAAAGTAAAACTTATACAAATATTACATTTGGTAGATACTGTACTTTGAGAAACTTAGGGGAATTATTAGAACCGGTAGTATTCCAACTAAAATGAGCTGTGCATTTTCTAGCCTGACTGAACCTCGCTTTTCAACTGTTCCCTAGTAGTTAGTCTGCGTTGGGTGGCGGACTATGTAATAATAATAATAATAAGTTTGGTTTCACAGGCTATGCATTTTCAAGTCATGATTGTTAACCTGGCTGAACCCTTTTTTGGTTAGCTAGTGTCATTCAGTTTTCAAAGACATTGAAAAAATATTAGGTGACTCTTTTAGACCATGGAGTTTTCTTCATCAGACCAAAGAATGGAAAGCTTTTCCAAAATTAGATTTGTCTGTCTGCAGAAATATCCTTAGTTCAAAGAAAAACATTTACAGCTAACATAACATAAACTAAGGCCATACAAATTTGATTTGTTGGTTCTCTGATTTTTTCTGAATAAATATGAAGCAACAAGGCAGAAAAAATAAATAAAAACAAACCTACTCCTAGTTTAAGGAATCCTACAATATGATTGGAGCCATGAAGCCAACATACCAGGCTGGTTTTTTATATGAGAATTTTGGAGTTGATTTGGAGGCTGTTTTTTTTTTTTTCAAATCAGTAAAAATGAAGCTGAATCCATGAACCAACAAATGAGATTGGTGTGGCCTAAGGACAATCACATTGTTTAGAGATTATTACTCTTTACAGCAGTTAATGCTACTAGTATTCTAAAGTTATTTTCAGCTATGATTTAACCTATTCAGTACATTAGCCTTTCACAGTGGCTGTAGTGTACAGTTGTATAAATAAAATCAATGGTTGTATCTACAAAAGGGCACGTGCATAAAGGAGATGAACTAAGCCTTGAGTTAACCAAAAAGAAGAAAAAAACACATACCTCATCAGCCTGTCTTCAGCCGTCTTGGTCCGATCAGGATTGTGAAATGTGCAGGAAACAAAGATATACCAGCCAGACAGCTTCGGTCCCCCGACAAAGTGTGGCAATGACAAAATGTGCGCTCGGGCTTTTATTGTTCTGTCCATGTGAACAATTATGCATAATTATTCTATGGACAGAAAAGAGTGTGAAGCATCTTTGACCTGCTTTCTTTTTGTAAGCCTGCAGCAGAGTGACGTGAACTTGCAGTACCTGTTACAAACCTTATTTACATTTCTTTAAACTTTTGTTGTTCTGTTGTTTTAGTAACTTCCTCTCTCCTATTGTAGGGGCATGTCATTCATGTTGTTACAAGAACAGTGTGCTTTATTGTTTGATGCTCTGGAATGTCATGTTGTGTTTTTTCCCCACAACTTTCAGTGTTAAATGTATAACTATTTTCTTCTTATGTCATGTAGCTTTGACTTTGATCTGAATAAAGTCAAGACTTATGCAACTTAAAAGGAATGGGAAATTCTAATTTTGATGGTGAAAAAAGTCTAAGTAACTTGAAATAACACATGCACTCACTTTTCAGACCTTATGATGGATAGAACTTAAACGTTTTGAAAAGGAGGTCATAGGGAATAACCATTAACCTCCTTGGATCAAGGACCATGATAAATAAATTAGGCATTCCCAGCCTCTTTTTTCTCAAAAATGCAGTTCAAGGTCTTTTTTTCACAGTCATATATATATATAGCATGAAGGAACCTCTTTGGTCACAGGTGCCAACCTTGGGAGGTATGAGTTGCTAGCCATGGAGGTTAAAAAAGCTAGGGATTATGATAACTTTAAATGAGAGAATAAACCAATAAATCCCGCTAAGGTTGTTTGTCTACTTGATTTCTCATTGAGAAATGAATCACATAATAAAAATAAACCATCAATATCACAATGTTTCACAAACATCCTACTTATGTGTTGAAAAAACTCATGGCAGACAGTCTTTTGTACTATCTCTCTAGGCTTGGCTTCGTTACGTTTGTAATCAATTCAGGCAAAATACACATGGAGACCCCATGCTAGACAACTTTAAACCTGACCTCGTTCAGAACAAGCACATGTATAGGTGAATAATAGGATCCTATTATTCACCTAATAGTATACATCTGCTTGTTTTGAACAAGGAGGGTTAAAGGAGGAAAAACTTCTTGTTTCGAAGGATACTTTGTGACCAAGATCGAAGGCTCTCTTGGGCAACTTCTTGCTAAAACCAGACAACACAATACACATCTCTTTGTCTTGCATGGGATCATGTTTGGTTAGACCCATTTTTCTTCGTGGGAAACTGTCTGTCCCATGGCTGCTATCTATGAAATGCATTTCTGCTCAATTACAAAGTTGGAATTACTCAAACCAGGGACATATTGCTGTCCTTGCTCAAACTGTTCGAGAACAAGAAATACTAGTTCAATTATAACTTTCAACCAAGGACATTATATCAGTGAAGCTCCTTGTTCCAAGTGTTTATAGCAATATTACATTTGTTTGTTGCATATTAGTGGCACAAGTTTCTCTTTTAGGGGATTATGAAAATTGAAAAGTGCAAGTACATGTACATGTAAGATTTAAACACAAATAATTTTGGTTAAAAAATCCACAGATTGACGAGTGACAGGCCTCCGTATAGTTACTACCAGTATTCACAATATGTAACTTGTGATGTCCTGGCTGCATGAACCAGCTGGATTTTCTTTTGGTGTCGTGAGGCCTTTTCAATGTATTATGGAAAGTGGATACCCCAAGAAAGCTAGAAAATACAGACAAAACCAGAAAACTGAAAAGCTTGGATATTATGTGAACCATGGAGGTTAGAAATGCTTGAACTTATCCGGGAAAAAGCTGCATCCCTCTACCCAATGTATGAGCTTTAAAGTGTTGACCAGAAATGTTCACTTTCAACATGGAGGTAAAAAAAAAGAGGCAGCTTCCCTTTTTTTACCTCTGTGCTTTCAACAGTGTTTTGGATCAAAGGCTTGTTTGTTTTTCTACCTCCATGTCTGGGTGAATACTGGCCAGCATGGCCTATCAGATCCACCGTCTGCACTCTATGCATAATTTAAGATAATTGCACATAATTACTTCGAAAGAAGGTGCTAAGTACAGTTAATCTATTGACAGATATTCAGCTGTCAAGTTGATGGATTGTGCTAGATTAGCAAGGGGCAGAAATATTCCAGAGTCCATATATCTAAACTTTAAAGCTTGAGACCAAACCTTTCCGCACTACCTACAAAGTTGATATTAGGTGCAAACAAGGTGCGACAAGTTGGTGTATATGAATCGGTTTTCGGAAAAATCATTTAATGAACACATACTTAGCTATGAATCGATAATGTCATGGCTACCTCCTAAAATTCTGTCAAAATGAACAATATTTTGATATTTCTTCAGATTCATAAAGTATTCTTATTTTCTGAAAACCGATTCTTATACTACACAACTACCCCTATATCCTCTGAAAATGTCAGTATTCCTGGCCATCGGGAAAGGTTTGGTCTCAGCCCATCTTTGTAAAATTGAATACTACATTTCCTAATTAATTATGAAAATATTATGTAGATTTTCTACACTTATTCAGCGTTTTTGAAATGCACGGTCTCTTGTCTAACTGTCTACCAAATTTCATGTTATTTTGTTGCTTCAAAGTCGAGATATTTACGATTTCTCTGGCAGCACTGTATTATGTGTATTACCCTTATTCATCTCGGCACCAGGCCTTACGGTACCAGAGATTGCTTCCTGCTGTGCCACCAATGGGGCCTTACGCTCAGTCTTACGCTCAGATACTGAGCGTTCGACTGGCAGGTCTATCTGGCCCTACCAGACCCTTGCACACTGAGATATTTTGTGTCCAGTGTGCTTTGGGTCTGGCATCCAGGCTATCCACCATTGTGAGTAAACAAGTTATAAATATAAATTTCCACACAAGATGCCCCACAACCTGCATTAGCAGTGGAGTGTTTTTGCTTGAAAAGGCTATTCATATAGAAATTGCTAACACTTTCGAAATTTGCACATCAAATTCTATCTTCAACACAGGTCAAATAAAGAAGACTATCTAGTGCTATCCGATTTCTTTACACATATCTCATTATGAATGTTTTATGCTTCAAATTTTGAGTCAATCTTGATTCAATGATCAAAAATTCCAATTACCAACTTGGATTTATGGAACACTAGATAGTACCAAAGTTGAAATCCAGTCCTGTCCTCCTTTTGATATCAATTATTAAAATAAAGTAAAATATCTTAGTAAAATATGTATATGCATTTTCAATGCTGAATTTTTAATGTGACCACTAGGTGGTAGGAAATGAGAACAGGACTGTTTGAAATGTGACATTTTGGAAACAATGAAATCTGGACCATGGCTCCATTCTGATTTAAGCTGAAAGGGAAAACAGTTTTTACAAATCACAGACATCACAAACAAGCTTGCTGAGTAAAAAGATACATTTCTTAGAAATTCAGCGCAAAGTATAATGCTTTCATTTCCAAAACTTCATATTACCAAAAGGCAATCCAGTAACTCAGCACTACTACAGAGCCACGATCCAGAGAGACCAAGGATGTCGTATTCATACCTTCTTCCACTTCATCGATAACGTGAGTGGCGATAGCAGGGTCTCCGATGCGGTTGGAGGCAGAACACTGGAGGTTCCGACAGCGTCAGGCTGGATAGACCTCAGCCTCAGTGTGCCGGCGATCTGGTCCACGTCTGTGTTGGTGGGAGGGTTCCGTTGACTCTGGTCCAGGTGTAGGTGGCAGGAGGGTTGGCGGTGTCCACAGCACAGCTGAGGGTGACAGTGTTCCACTGCACAACCTTGTCTGCTGGGTCCCTTGTGATGGTGGCAGAACTAGGACCATCTGGTTGGAACAGGAATTCAACATAGAATAAAGACATGCTAAAAAAGATTTCATTCCTGGTACTCTGGGTAGTACAAGTACAGTCTTAAATTTCAGATGGAGACAACAAATCAGTTGTCTGAAAATGAGATGGTTTTCAGCTGAATACTTTGTAAAGCAAATACATAATGTCTACCTTGACATGGTCTAGCCAACAAAATACTACTGTTTATTCTTATTCAAACACCTCCAAAAATATGGTGAGCAGTCCTCTAACTTTACCCTGCTACATAAAGTAACCCACCACCACAGTGTCTTCTACCAGTTACCATGGTGACAGACGTCAGGTGCATATCATTGATTTGTTTGGAGCAGAAATAGAAAGAAACTGAGCAAAAACAATATGTCTTGCTTCTGCCAAGGTAAACATAATGATGGAATGGTAGACTTACACTGGACCTGAACGTCGACACTGTTGGTGAGTGCTGTAGGGTTGTCTCCAGGCAGCTGCGGGACTCCGTTGTCAGCTGTGCAGGTGTACTGGCCTGCCGCGCTCCTCTGGATGTTGGTGATGGTCAGGGCTCCTGTGTTTGGATCCTGTGCGGCATCGGCAGGCAGGTTGTCACCTGTCCAGGTGTAGGTAGGTGCGGGGATGCACCTGACTGACAAGTGAGCACCACCTGAGCGTCACCTTCCATAGCTATCAGGCCAGGGGTAGCAGTGACTGTCGTGTCCTCTGGAGCATCTAAACAAGGAAGCAAAAGTCAATCAGGCCACACCAATTTAAATTGTTAGTTCTTGGACGTTATAAAAACAATTTGAAGCGACAGGGCAAAAATATACCTGGGCATCCTCAGATAGCCCCGGAAGCTATGACAAAATCCCTAATGTCAACATACCAGGCTGCTTTGATAATTCAAACAATACTTTTTGAACGTTTTATCACACCACCATATTGATAGATGAAAAATTGTAACAACTAAGAAGACAAGGAGCTTTCTATAACTGGAACCAAAACATGAGCATTTTGGAGCTGTTTTTTTTTCAAATCAGAAAAGAATCCAAGAACCAATTGATTAAATTGGTGTGGTCTTACTCCCAAAACTTACCAAAATAAGAGATGCTGAAGAAACATTTCACATATCAATTTCAACCAGTATACATTTCCACATACAAATATGACATGCATTTATATTTTCAATTTCAACTCATTGTAACAAAACATAGACTTACACTGCACGATCAGGGTCCTCTCTTTGCTGTCTGACGTTCCATCGCTGAAGGTGGTAGAGAGCTGGTACTGTCCTGCATCGTCCTTGGTCACGCTGAAAAGTTTCAAGCTGGCCTGCCCAACAGGTTCCACCCTGCCCTGGAGCTGGACATTACCACATAGGATTGTTAAGTCCTGTTCACAGGGGATTTCAAATCAATGTCAATCGAGGCCCATTTTTGAACTTGACCCTGGTCTTCCCAAGGGTAACCTGAGTGCCAAAAACCATTAATATCGAACTACGCCTTCAAGAGTTACACTGAATAGTCTCTCACACTAAGTGATTTCATAGCCTTCTCGACAAAGGCAATAATTGGACGTGTGAATTTCATGGATTTGCTGAAAGAAACTTGCTGTGATCCAATGGGCGCAATCTAATGCATGTTAGCCATACTTACTCGCCAAGCAGCAAAGACGTTAAAGGATCCATTGTTGACCTTGTTGGCAATCCCGCTTGATGGCATCTTTATCCAGACCTCAAACCGCACGGTGACACCAGGCGCGGTTGTATACCCATACTCCAGAATAGAGTCGTCACCGAGGTTGGTTCGAGTGATGCCATCATCAGGAAGGGTGATCGCATTTTGAGCTGGAAAAGACAAAGATTCGGTCAGCCACAACTGTCTACATCCCACATGCTGGCTAATTAACATCTTGCTCAGTATAAATTCACCTCTACATGTCTGTAGCATGAAAGGACATATTATGCCTTTACAAATCAGAATTAAAAAAGTATGGACCATGTTGAAACTGTGTAGAAAACACTGTAATCATATCATTTTGTATGTCATGGGTGGTTTCTAGTCAAGAATACGAGAAAAAATCCACATGCAACTATAAACTAAGTACATGTACTACAGAAATCCCTGCAGAAGTCCTACCTGCACTAATGGGTGACATTATAAAAATCTTGAACATTGTACCTCACAGGTTTGTTTGTTGACATCCCAAATTATGAACTGCTAAGCACAAAGAAACATAACATGTATTTGTACCCTTTGGTGAGAGGACATTTTTGCTACCAGGCTGCCCTTCCAACAGAAATGTTTCCATGTGAGACCACAAAACACGACCCAGACATTCCCTAGGGATTAGGGCTGTCAGGGAATACTCAATGCAGATTCTTTATTGACACAACAAAAAAGTACAGAGACTTTTGTATGGTCTTCTACAACTTAACTAAAGATCTAACAAAGCTAAATACATGTGTGGATAACGTCATCTCACGTACAGAGTATATGTATGATGTAACAATAAAGGTTAACTATTCTCTAACATGTGTTCCCTAAGATCGAAACATTCTTTAATGTATTTTCCTATTTGAACACTGTATTGGTTATCTCCCATGAGAATGTAGTTGCATTTATCTATAGGATCTAACGTATTGAAATCAATTGAACAAGCGGAAAGAAAGGTGAACAGCAATAAGCGCTTATCATTGTATAGTGTACAGTCCATTATGAAATACTAACAGGATATGTGTAGCTGGGGTCACCACTTAGGTCAGGTACACAACTGACATAAATGGCATCAACAAGGGTGCTATATTACAGGACCCAACCATACACTCTCAAATCATGGGACTGGACAGGGACCCATGAAAAATATAAACCTACATGAATGAGGAGGTGTAGCATTATAGTGGAAAGCTTTGCTCTTTGTGCCATGAAAAGGTTCTTGTCATATTTTAGCTAGGTGCAAAAACACCAAGATTAAAATTACTTACAAAAAGAAAAAAAAACGTTTCTAGGTACTGGATCTCGCAGTATCCGTGGGAAAATTCTCCCTTATCTGTATCATGTCATGCACACAAAAATCCTCAGGGCAAGACCATTGTTTACTCTCTAATTTCATGCCTACTTTCTCATGGTGGATTTGCTGAGGTAGAAAAGCACATATGTCCCCCCATGTATTTGCAACATCCAAGGCCGTGTTCATGTGAAGTCACCCAAACAGCGATTCGGGTAACTCACATTCCTCACATCTGGTCCACGTGCCATACATTCCTTGCAAACCGTTACCTGGGAGTTCGGCAGTGTTCGGCAGGCCATTTTCGGCTATGCATATATGTGTGACATGGGCTTGAGGCTTTGACCTCCACGAACCCGGAAGTATGATGTCAAATCCCGAGTTATCCGACATCGAAGTTGGCGCGGGCACATTTAGCCCCCCCCCCCAGTCTATATAGGGTTAAAATAGCCCAGTGTCTCGTCTAGTTATGTAGAACACCTGTATATTGTCATGTTACACATGTTCCTTTCGAATCCCGGCTGATGTCGCTCACCCGACATGCACGCTACTGTTTAGGGTCGCAGTCCTTCGGACGGGACGTTAACCGTGGTCCACTGTTGATTGTGCTAGTCGAAAAGAGCTAGGGGAATTTCCCCGGTACAATGAACCTGTAAATACTGTACATAGCGTCTGTCTTCTCTGTCACAACCAGTGGAAGATTAGCTCTTCAATGAGCTAAACTGGTTACAGCATTTTCACTTTCACTTTCATACTACTGGTAGTTCTCTTTGAAACAATATATTGATATAACGTGTGAAACTTATGTACGAAACGTATCAATGAATGAAGCACACGTTTTGCCATAAGTGTCGTATAATACGTATACGTGGCGCCTTGACCCCAAAACATTACGAAGATCGTACCTGTCGTAACCGCTAGGAAAAACCCTACTTCCAGCACAAATGCAGACAGTCGCCCGCTCGTATTCCGTATGTACAGCTGCCCAGCCATGTCGTGGCGGCACACACACACAGACGTAAGACTTTACAGAATCAAACAAACACTGTCGCGTTTGAGACGGACTAAAATTACTCTTAGTGTCCGATGTATACCTAGAACGCACCCACGTTTCCTTGTTCCTGTTTCGTGGTACTAGCTCACTTCCGGGCTAGTATTACTAGTAGTAACATCCGCCGTACTTCTTATTACTCCACACCGGCCAACCAGAACAAACCTAATCCTCTGAACCATGACCTATTACTGTAGCCTGGCATCCAGGCTTATCGTGGTTGGGGCATAGTAGTTAGGGCATAGTAGTTAGGGCAGGCGGTGTCTTCGGGTAGGGATGGTATGCCAGGGGGCTTGATTTGCCCCAACACTTCGTGGTAGGGCTAATCAATCTCCCAGCGTGAAATACACACCGGGGAACCTAGCTGAGGCGGGCGGGATAGAGCTCCTGCAGCCCCGAGGAAAAACCGCCCCTGCCACGTAAGACTGGATACCAGCCTACCGTTACCTGGGAGTTCGGCAGTGTTCAGGAGACCATATTTGGCTATGTGTGACATGGGCTTGAGACTTTGACCTCCGCGAACCCGGAAGTATGATGTCACAAATCCCGAGTTAGTTGCAAGTCAAGTCAAAGTGTATTGCACAACGATTGTAACAGGTACAATGTATGGCAGTTAATAACTAGAGTTCCACGATCTCATACCTTTGCCAAATGATGTTAGCTTTTATGAATAAGAACTTATATACAATGTATTAATCCCCCTGATTATGCAAATAGGATCCGCAAATGCATGAATTATATCTGTTGAACATAATCTCCACCAACAGTCTTATTTTAACAAAGAATGTCATTATAGCATTTCCTCATATATTATGCAAATGAGGTCCTTATTTGAATAAGTTATGTTAAAGTATGTTCACCTTCACTAAACTTCAAACACACCAAGTATAAAATTCCAGGCAGTTACCACTATGCAATTATAACATTTTCTCATTAATTATGCAAATTAAGTCTTCATTTGCATAATCGATATCTGCCTGTGTTTCTCTCGTTGTTAATAACATATGTCGCAAGCTTGAACATCCTATCATGGAATGCAGCTGATTAATAGAATTTCCTCATTAATTATGCAAATTACATCCATATTTGCATAATTGTAATATCATTATGTCAAGCATTACTCAAGCTACCTACATACCAAAAATCATGATGACCCATCAATCGGTTCTTGAGTTATCCTCCTTTAAACATTTGTCCTTTAAACCCCCCTGCAGTTCTAGAGCAAGCAACTAGGGGGCCCAAACTCACGTCACTTCTTCCCCAGCACAAGAGCTACCTGTCATCCAAATTTCGTCACCCTAGCTTGTCTAGATCATGAGATATCAAAATGGGAAGTTCAGCTGCAGTACCATGACAAGCCGCCAGGGGGCCCAAAATCTAATCAGTTCGAGCTCTCATCAAGACCTACCCACCTACCAAATATCAAGATAATCCATCTAAGCTTTCTCGAATTATGCTGTTGACACACAGACACACAGACACACGGACATGAAAAAATAACCTTCTCCAATTCTTGGCGAAGGTAATAAGATTACCAGCTGGTATGAGTCTATTAAGATATACATGTAGCTATATACTATTAGGCCAACGTTAACGGGTATCATGTCTGGCAAAATGTTGAATAGAACTAACTAACTAAGAGCTAGTACACCTCTACACGTATGTTCTAAGCTACGCTATACTGTATTCCTGAAGAGTACAATGAGGAGTTGTATATTTTTATTTTATTACATACTATGCAGGTTCTGTGAGGACTATACAGAGTGTCGACTAAATTACTGACTGTTACAATTCTACATGTCATGACACGGCACATTTATACCTACCCTGGGAGCCAGACTAGTATCGGGCCGTTAGCCGTTTTTTTTTCGGCAGCCAACAGCCCTTCGCTCGCCTATCTATTACGGCTAATGAGGAATAAATGAGGAATAATGGTAGCAAAAATGTTAATCATACTATAAGTCAAAAACGTTGTTTACGCAAATTACGCAAACTATTTCTAGTATCGCTAAATTAAAAAATCGATTAGCGGAGAAAACGTGGATAACTTACACAATCACACAAACGCTAAGACGCTTATAGTAAATACCTCCATGAAAAATGGAGGTATTGTTTTTGGCGCGTCTGTCTGTGTGTCTGTCTGTGTGTCTGTCTGTGTGTTTCCGCACATTTGTAGTCAGCATAACTTAATAACGCCTTTATGGATTGTGATGATATTTGGTATGCTGGCAAGTCTTAGGAAGACGAAGGTCAAGGTCAAATATGGGCCTCCTGGTGGATGTCCTTGGTACTGCAGCAGAACTTCCAGTTTTTGTATCTTTTGTCCTGAACATGCTATGGTCTTGATGTTCTGGTGACAGATTGCTTTTACTGTCAGGAATAAGTGGTGTGAGTTTGGTCCCCCTAGCAGCTTGTTTTGGAACTCCAGGGCACTTTCTGGCGAAATGTTTAAAAGGCAATAAGTCCAGATAGGAACAACGTATTTTCATCATTTTTGGTAAGTAGATAGCTGAGAGAGATGTACATAATAAAATGATGCAAATGAGCACTTTATGTGCATAATTAATGAGGAAATTCTATAATTACAGTGTTTTACATTATAGTACGTTCATACATGTAATGTATGTAACCTATGGCAGTCGAACATCAACAGATACTAATTATGCAAATGATGACCTAATTTACATAATTTATGCAAAAGTTCTATGATTTCTTAATGGTCAATAATGGGAATGTCATACTTGGGATATCTGTAAGTTAATCAAAAGTTAACATAAATCACGATGCATATATCATGTTAATGCGGAGGTAATTGGCATAATTAAAGAGGAAATTTACTTTTACATATCAAGCCCATATTTCATGGAGGTATGATATCTCGGAATTCTTGTTTGGATTGTGATGATACTTGGTATGCTGGTAAGTCTTAGGAAGACAAAAATCAAGGTTAAATATGGGCCTCCTAGTGGCTGACCTTGGTACTGCAGTGATACACAGCTATATTACAAGAGAAGGGGGAGCTGAAACGAAGGAGAAACCATTCTGATTTGCCTCCCAAGCAGGAGAAATTCTAAGCCTTACCTTCATATGTCAGGCACAGTTGTGAGGTCTATATCTCCCAGCATCGTTTCTAGCCTGGACTAGTACTTCAGCTTGGTATCTCCAATCGCTGTGACGCCGGCGCCTTTTTTTATTTTTTATTTTATTTCTGTAAGACTAGTCTCGGCGAGGTCTGCACAGCCTGAAGCAGGCAGGGACACTCAGCCTCCTCTTCAGACTCTTCCACATCCTTCGGCAGAGTCCGATTTTTGGGACCGGTTCCGCATCGATGATTGTCGTCGTGCTGGTTCTGCGTGCCGTGACCGCCTGTTGGCTTTCCTCCCTCGCGGGCATCACACAGCTGGGGAGGGTGTCGGCCTGGGGGACAATTCCAGTACCTTCCTCCGTAGTATCATTCAGCACCGATGTTTGCCGGTCGCCACACTTAAATTTCACCGACATTGTTTCGCGCACGCCTTTCCTGGTATGTAAACTCAGGACCTCCGAACTGGAGGATTTTACAACGTGTACATCATGTACTCGCGAAGACATTTCAGTCACTTCGTTTTCCATTTTGGATAAACTTTTGCGAACTGACAAGCTCAGATCGAACTAGTACGTGTTTATTGGACGAGAGCTTCACACGTATGGTTGTACACCTCTTTGTTCCGTCATAATGCCCGCCGCCCAAGACGCGACGAGGAACAATGACACGCGTTCCAGAACATGCGCAGATGCGCCGTCGAATCGCCGCATGCCGCGAGATCCGCTGTAGTGATCCGACGAATGGCAAATATTTTAGATTCATTTTTGATGAACAGGCGTTACCAGTTTTTTTTTAACAATTCCAAGCAACGCGTTTTTTCTCCTTATAGTTTATATATATATATTCCAACATGTACAATGTAATCACAAGACGTGGTGACGGCACACTCAAGTTTTTTCAACCTATATTAATGCCGCCACCAACATGGGACAATACAATACTCATTTTCACCTGAGCGAAGTGAGGGATGTCGTGTAAAGTGCCTTTCCCAAGAGAAGGGCACAAGATCGGTGGCATGTCAGGACTCGAACCCGGGACCTCTTGGTGTCGACTCGAGCACTCTGCCGCTGCACGACCCCAGAACAGATTGACCAATCAGACGGCGGCATTATATTGTCCTAAAATTGTCGAGCGAGGGCCATTACATTTTAAACTTCAAATTGGCCAATGACGACGGGGCGGCGTTGTTCTAACTTGGCGGTGGCGGTGTCATAGCGCGCTTGGGGGTATGTAAGACAATATATCGATAATGTCGATATATCGTTGATATATATACGATGGACGAACATCACATATCGATATCGTCGATACAAAGACACGAAATAAACAGAATAGGGTAAAATGCATTTTCTTGGAGTGGGAGTTCACTCTACAGTTTTAAACTGCTGGCGCGTCTTGTCCGTGCAGTAGCTTACAGTACTAGTATATCGACGTGACATGAGAGACACCTAGCGGCGTGTCACTATAATAACAGACAGACGACAATTCCCTTTCTTCCGTGAAAAAAATGATTTTCTTGTTATTTAACATATAGTTGGACTTGTTTTTCTGAATTTATGCTAGAAAGTACACGTAGTAAGAAAATTAATCAAGAATTTAGTCCTCAAATGTTTGTTTGGACTTATAAAGATGAAATTTGTGCCCCGGAAGCATGCATGCACCTGTTACAGCACAAGACGAGATATATCACGTTAATACTAGCAAAAAGACGAAAGTGTATAAAAATATGGAACGCTTCACGAATTTGCGTGTCATCTTTGCGCCTGATTTGACCCGATCTTCTCTTCAATTTTAGGACTTTTCGACCAATCAGTAAGCGAGCTGGTCCTAACATTTGACCCAGTCCACCAATCAGACAGCTGGATGGTCCTAAAATTGGTCCTAAAATATAACCAATCAGCTTGCGAGAAAGTTGTGACGTGACGTTGCATGAGAACTTTCGAGGGAGTTGAGGTCCGCCATTGTTTGAGGAAGCTGACTGTAGAGGAGCGATCCTACTGTCGTTTTTCTGCTGTTTTCTTCACGACAGCTGTTTCATCCTCCGTGAAAGGTTAGTGGAGACATATCTTTAGCTGTTAATGTAATTTTTGGCACTGGATGGTTGTTTATTGATGTTGTTTTGGACCGTTATTTGGACGGATACTGCACGTACTGCACGGTAAGCCGGGTGATGCACGCCGATGTATTTAGCGTGATTTCTGGCTGTTTTGACATTTATTCACCCGTGTATCGGGAAAAACTTTACAGTACATCATTTTTTGTATCAGCCTTGCATGACTCTCTGTGGGGAATTCTAGTCTGGATGTTTATTTTGTGCTTTATCGGAGTGTAACGACCGACTCCAAGCAGATGTTACGGGGACCTGAGCACATGGCACCGCTAAAAATTAACAAGGATTTCTATCCTTAATTTCGCTCTGAAATGCACCCATTCAGCTGCTTTTGCTTTCGAAAGATGTTGAGTGAATCTGATCATGTTTCGTGTATTT